TCTGATTAGAATGTTTAATGTGGATACCAAAGACAACATTTACTATTTCTGTATAAATACCACCCTCAGAAACCACTTATGGAAGACACCAATGATAACCTTTTTAAAAATTATAATATATACTTTAAAAGACTGAAAATATTCAAAATATGAAAATTGTCAAAATGATGTTACTAACCTGTTTTTATTCAGCTTATAAAAAAATAAAAAATACATACTATAAAATTGAGTAGTTAAAGAACATTATTATTCACTTAGTATAACCGTTATTCACTTAGTATAACCGATACTAAACTAATAATAGCTTTTTTAACTAATGACTTAATCAGGACAACTCTCTATTATTCAATTAATAATATCATACACAATAATAATTTCATATAATTAATTCATTGTAAAGTATCAGAAAAATTGCTTCAACAAAAAAATAGTAATATCATTAACTTCTTTTCAATTCAGCAGCAATTACGATGATGCATTTATAAACATGTAAATAATTGGACAAAATGACAGCAGCAAATTGATTTCTTTTCATTCCTATAATCAAAGCAATAATTGTATAACAATCCTTCTATACAACCAAATGAAAATAAAATACCAACAAAAAATCTCTCATAAAAAAAAAATCTTTTAATGACAAAACATAATCAACAAATAAAAAAAATCCAACACAATACAACCTTAAATTCAAACAAGTTTATGTTTCATGAGCAAACGATATTAACAATTAACTTTACACCACCACCAAAAACACAACCTCCAACTATAAATTAAATCTACGACCATGACCAACATACCATGAAAATACAAATCAATAATACACGTACAGAAATAACAAATAAAAACAACAGTATTAACAGAGAAAGTGAGGCGCGACAATCACAAATTATAAATTCAGAAATTATCGTAATTGTGACATGTTCTTGATAAGAAAGGAAGCAGCGTGATTTGTCAGTCAACTTGTTGCTATGTTTAGTATTTTAGTGCAACATTTTTTTTTTTTTTTTTGTTATTAGAGCTGCAATGATATTATCATATTGGATTACTATCTGGATTTTTTTTCTTTTTCTTTTTCTTTGATGGGGGGGGTGGGGGAGGTATATTAAGTGAATAAGTGTTATCCTAAAAGTTAAGTAACAATTCAGTTGTGCGCGTCAGTGTGCGCGTCAGTGTGCGCGTCAGTGTGCGCGTCAGTGTGCGCGTCAGTGTGCGCGTCAGTGTGCGCGTCAGTGTGCGCGTCAGTGTGCGCGTCAGTGTGCGCGTCAGTGTGCGCGTCAGTGTGCGCGTCAGTGTGCGCGTCAGTGTGCGCGTCAGTGTGCGCGTCAGTGTGCGCGTCAGTGTGCGCGTCAGTGTGCGCGTCAGTGTGCGCGTCAGTGTGCGCGTCAGTGTGCGCGTCAGTGTGCGCGTCAGTGTGCGCGTCAGTGTGCGCGTCAGTGTGCGCGTCAGTGTGCGCGTCAGTGTGCGCGTCAGTGTGCGCGTCAGTGTGCGCGTCAGTGTGCGCGTCAGTGTGCGCGTCAGTGTGCGCGTCAGTGTGCGCGTCAGTGTGCGCGTCAGTGTGCGCGTCAGTGTGCGCGTCAGTGTGCGCGTCAGTGTGCGCGTCAGTGTGCGCGTCAGTGTGCGCGTCAGTGTGCGCGTCAGTGTGCGCGTCAGTGTGCGCGTCAGTGTGCGCGTCAGTGTGCGCGTCAGTGTGCGCGTCAGTGTGCGCGTCAGTGTGCGCGTCAGTGTGCGCGTCAGTGTGCGCGTCAGTGTGCGCGTCAGTGTGCGCGTCAGTGTGCGCGTCAGTGTGCGCGTCAGTGTGCGCGTCAGTGTGCGCGTCAGTGTGCGCGTCAGTGTGCGCGTCAGTGTGCGCGTCAGTGTGCGCGTCAGTGTGCGCGTCAGTGTGCGCGTCAGTGTGCGCGTCAGTGTGCGCGTCAGTGTGCGCGTCAGTGTGCGCGTCAGTGTGCGCGTCAGTGTGCGCGTCAGTGTGCGCGTCAGTGTGCGCGTCAGTGTGCGCGTCAGTGTGCGCGTCAGTGTGCGCGTCAGTGTGCGCGTCAGTGTGCGCGTCAGTGTGCGCGTCAGTGTGCGCGTCAGTGTGCGCGTCAGTGTGCGCGTCAGTGTGCGCGTCAGTGTGCGCGTCAGTGTGCGCGTCAGTGTGCGCGTCAGTGTGCGCGTCAGTGTGCGCGTCAGTGTGCGCGTCAGTGTGCGCGTCAGTGTGCGCGTCAGTGTGCGCGTCAGTGTGCGCGTCAGTGTGCGCGTCAGTGTGCGCGTCAGTGTGCGCGTCAGTGTGCGCGTCAGTGTGCGCGTCAGTGTGCGCGTCAGTGTGCGCGTCAGTGTGCGCGTCAGTGTGCGCGTCAGTGTGCGCGTCAGTGTGCGCGTCAGTGTGCGCGTCAGTGTGCGCGTCAGTGTGCGCGTCAGTGTGCGCGTCAGTGTGCGCGTCAGTGTGCGCGTCAGTGTGCGCGTCAGTGTGCGCGTCAGTGTGCGCGTCAGTGTGCGCGTCAGTGTGCGCGTCAGTGTGCGCGTCAGTGTGCGCGTCAGTGTGCGCGTCAGTGTGCGCGTCAGTGTGCGCGTCAGTGTGCGCGTCAGTGTGCGCGTCAGTGTGCGCGTCAGTGTGCGCGTCAGTGTGCGCGTCAGTGTGCGCGTCAGTGTGCGCGTCAGTGTGCGCGTCAGTGTGCGCGTCAGTGTGCGCGTCAGTGTGCGCGTCAGTGTGCGCGTCAGTGTGCGCGTCAGTGTGCGCGTCAGTGTGCGCGTCAGTGTGCGCGTCAGTGTGCGCGTCAGTGTGCGCGTCAGTGTGCGCGTCAGTGTGCGCGTCAGTGTGCGTGTCAGTGTGCGCGTCAGTGTGCGCGTCAGAGAGTGTGTCAGAGAGAGAGAGAGAGAGAGAGGGAGGAAGGACGGAGAGGAGAGAGAGAGATGAGAGAGAAGAGGGGAGTGGGAGAGAGAGAGAGAGAGAGATCGAGGAGATGAGAGAGAGTGAGAGAGAGCGTGAGTGAGTGATGTGAGGTGATGTGAGTGACGTGACTCCCCAGTGTGATGTGAGGTGAGTAGTGAGTGAGTTGTGGAGTGATTTCGTGAGTGATGAAGGAGTGTGTGTGTGTGTGTGTGTACAGTAAATTCCAAAACGTGTAAATATTTGTCATCGCATGCTGTGACACCATTTATCATCATTAAATCACACATAATATGTCAAAATATCACAAATGACATCTGACAAAGCTGCATAACATTAAAGCATACTCTGGCACTCTAAAAATAACTCCCTTAATAATAGGGCATATACAACCCAGTATTTCCTGGCCCATAAAAGCAAATGATGGAAAAGCTTTCGAGCAAACAAAAACAAGCTAGAAAATTATGAACGCTAACAGAGGAAGATGTGGGAGTGAGCGACAAACGTTAACAGGCACAGGATATTAACATGAGTGCGAGTTTGAAGGCTTCCTTTTCTTACTGTGTGAGGATATAGATTTAAGGATGGATTTAGTTTATGTTTAAAGGAATATGCATATATACACCTGGTATTGAAGTTCTTGTGCGCCTTTCTTGTACTGTGGAACATTAGAAAATAGATCTACTGATTCACTAAATATTTAAATCTTCATAAAGGCCACACACATGGTGCAAAAACTGGTCGGTGAAATTGAAAAAATGGGCATGAAATACTCTGAACAAATGAAAATTATAAAACAAAAGTCATTTCTTAGAAGAGAAACATTTCCCAGACTGGAAATGATAAAAAAGGGGATAAATATAATGTTACATCTTTCTCTTACATGTAAGATATGCACAAACCTTTCAAACACTTTATAGTACTAAAGTCTGTGTCAATATACTGGGCTTCTTTATCAATATCATGGCATAGGTGATGTTAAGCATCCTCTGTTTTTAGAATTTGAATGCCAGTGTTCACAAATACTCTAAAAATAAACTTTCTACAATAGCAATAAACCCATTCTTCCCCCTTGCTCATAAATAGGTTCAAATTGCAAGACTATGACATTAAATAGCCATAATATAATATAAAATCTTAACCTGATATCTATTCCTAAACATTTATTTTTAATTTTTAACCCATTAACATTACCAGTTCAGTAATTTAAGCAAATAAACAACTTTGACAGATGAGTTTCATTTTTTTAAGTTTGCATAAATTTGTTTACATATGAATTGATAAAAGCATTTTTTAATCTCAGGATTGACTATTAAATAATACATTTATTCATATACAACCAAACAAAATGCTAAACAATTTAAATAGAAGTTATTTTCCACAGTTTCTCAAACTTTCAATGCTGGAACAGATAGCAATCTCATTATTTTAGTTAGTTAAGGATTTCAACAGAATGGTAAGTAAGCACAGGTTACCAAGATAGACCTTAAGAAAGCAGCCCTATCTAGCTAACATCTGGTAAATAGAAAAAGAAAGGTCATAATGCTGTGTTTATCTTTCAAGAGGAATTAGTGTTTGATCTTGCCAAGTCTTTTCTTAAAAAGAGTATTTAATGAGAAAAGCCAGTGAAGAAAATATCCTTCAGAGAAATGACCCAAGGACTGTGCATTGGGAAAGATTTTGACTACTAGGAACTGCACACTCATAGGGTGAAGAATGACATGGATTTCCTTGGTATGAGCTGACAATCGTGAGCGCGGAGGTTTTATTTCATTAGATTATCTGGGAGCGCCAGAAGATGGGAGGAATTTGAATGAAAGGGAAGAGGAGGTGAACAAGGATGAGGATGAGTTGTTGTTGCTGTAGTAGTACGAGGAGGAGGAGGAGGAGGAGGTAGTAGTGGTATGTGGGGTCCCACGCCACGAGCAGGAGGAGGAGGAGGAGTGAGGGAGGCGGAGGAGGAGGAGGGTGATGAGGGTACACCACTTCCCTCACACTCTGCCCCTTCCACACACAACGCTCTTTGTTTCACGTCCATTTTCCACCCCGTTCCGCTCACTTTTCACTCCCTCCGACCTGCCAAACACGTAGGTCGTACACTCTTAATTGTATCACAAAGCTTGAAATCAGGCCTTACCACCGACTCATGATGTTGGAGGTTGGAGAAATCCCTAGCGATGTACAGCGAGTGCACTTGTTCGGTACTTCACGCTCTCTGGTCCCTCTCCTTGCCAGCTTTCACTACCACGGTCGCAGCTGAAGCCTGGAAGGAATAACACAAGTCATTTAACACACTCGGATCTCCGTTCATCACAAACCCACCTTCCGCGCCTCCTCCTTCCACAAATATACTTTACCCGCCCTTACAGAGATATCCGCAGTGAAATAAAGAAGAGAATAAAGAGAAAATAGATTGAGGATCGGGGGAATCTGGCAAGTGGAGACGCGGGGCAACGAACACGCCGCTGCCATGAGACTGCGCACACGGGCGGCGAGCGGCGCCAACTCTGAACTCTTGGGCTTTACACGTCCAGTTGAAATCACTTCACGTCACTACTGCGAAATGAGTGCTGAGTCTCATGGAACTTTGTTTTAACGAGAGAGGAAGAGATGAGTTCGTTGGCTGGAGAGAGTGTGGCCTTACGTGTTGAGTGAAGCCATGGCTCTCTCCTCTACTACATTCTTCTCCCGTCCTTCTCATCGGCATTATATAGTATTTTCCTTCCAAATGTCTATCAGTAAAAGTGAGAGCTCTGAAGAGGTTTATTTTCTTTATATGGGTGGTATGGAGATCACTACCTCTTTCCGTTTTTAAGGCCAAACTGTCAAGACTACTATATAATATCATTTGTTCTTTATATAATATATTTAAAGAAAGTTATTTCAGGTAAATATTTGCATTTTTACTCTCATGTTCTAAACAAATATATATTAAAAAATATTTGCAACACATCTTCCTTTCCATGAGCCAAAAATACAGTACTACTAAATGGGTAAATGACAGTTGTAATGGCGATATTGTGTGTCTCGCTTTTTGTACCTTTTGTTGGCTTGGGAATCGCCCTGTGTTGAAGAGATATAATGAGTGTCGTCCCATTCTGTATCATAAATGGAGGGAGACGCTCTTTGCATGATTATGGCTCATTATTTCATTTCCTGGGTTAGTCGCAGCGCCAACTTCGAAATTGCTCGGCAGAATACTTCATGGGATTTTTTTTCTAACGTCTTTTTTTCGCGCAGAATGCCGACTTTACCGACTCCACGGAACTATGTATTGATTTTTCTCGGGAAGGATGTGTGCAATAGCCATGAACTGTACTGCTTCGTGCTGGTTGGTGGTAGGGAGAGAGAGAACGTTATTGTACAAACGGGTGAAATGTGCAACATTATGTAAAAGGTGATTATGCAAAGCACTCGTGACTTCCTGAATGGACTATTTGCAATCACGAGCATATGTGAGCGCATAGTTAAATTCTCTCTCTCTCTCTCTCTCTCTCTCTCTCTCTCTCTCTCTCTCTCTCTCTCTCTCTCTCTCTCTCTCTCTCTCTCTCTCTCTCTCTCTCTCTCTCTCTCTCCGCAAAGAATCTAACTTAAAAATGAAACCGAGTCCTCACAGAGACAGCCACATTGTTGCAACAATACACTGGCAATTGCACGTGGTAATGTATTGAAAGGAGTCTTTTCAATAAAATTCATAAAGAACTAACAACGCAATTTTCATATGTTCTTGATGTTGATATCAGTCTAACGTTCTATTTTATTGCAGGAAGTAGAATGTCACGTCATCGTATTGCATTCCATTATTTTATTAATGAGCATCGTTGACGTTTTTCACTGAGCGTCAAATAGCATGGGAGAGTGTGTGTGGATTCAGCATAACGGAATGTGCAGGTGTTGGTCACGTCGCCTATAGGAGCCACTCCCTCACTTCAACAAAGGTTAAACACTGACCAGCGATTTATTCTTATCTTCCCGCTTACACTAAACACCTCACTAACATTGGCCTACCCTAGCGTCACCTCACTAGTAATGGAGAGACACCGCGAGCCCTCATCGGAGAACCAGATAGGGAGGGTCAGCCCCCTACCCTGTAAACTGACACCGCACTATTAGCACAAGTGACGGCATCCCTCCCCCTTCCACCCCGGTGCCCGTTGTGTGTCCTAGTAGAGACTCTCTTGGTGTATAGCGTGTGTTTGCGAGGACGTGGCTGTGCTCTCGAAGGGATAAACACCGTGGTTATGCTTTCAGCATGAGTGGCAGGTGGCTCGCTTGGGAATAGCTAATGTGGAGCGCTCAGGGAAGACGCCGAATACATACCCGAAAGTCTATCCATATACAGAGTAGTGTATATGCATATGTATGTGGCGTGTGTGTGTATATATGCATATGTCAGATCCCGACTGTCAGGTGGACGGCTATTGTTGATCTGACCGAGCTGCGCCACGCAAATTCACATGCCTCGCCGCCATGACCGATGAGCACTGTCCCGCTTTTATGTCTGAAACCCAGACGTCCCGAAAGCCACGTGGGAATATGCGGTGGCATTGTACCTTTACTTGAAAGTTACTCACGCAAGGCGAGTGACAAGGTTGGCTGACCCCCAAGCGTCCGGAACAAGGCTTCTTCGTTCGCTGTTCTCTTTCTAAATGAAAACCATAAACGTCAATTAGGACTATCCTGTCCTTCTCGGGAAAAGTGTTATTATCGCATCCATTTGTGAAAAGGTGGCTCGGTGATTTAATGTGCTTAATAGCCTTGGAAATATCTTGTTTAAAAACAGACCGGATGTAATATCGCTTCGCACAGCACTTCAGACGGTTATGAACTGCTCGATCATGGTAGAGCACAATACATCTTAGCTCCCCCTCCCCCCCTTCTCTCAACCTTCATCAGAATGGAACATTCATTCAGGGATTCGAACACGTACTTAGGCGTTCGGAATTACAACTAACTGCCCAACAACATTTAATGTAAAACTCGTGCGGTTGTCGTTTTTATCAGTTCGTTTTGCATTAAATGTATGAACTTCTTGCATATGGATACTTTTATTATTCAATTAAGTAAGTGAAGTCTCTTGCAGAGATCTGAGTCTCATTAACACTTAAATCTACTAGTCATGTCACTCACGCATGATTGTCGGGAGGTTGCATGGCCTGAGGTTTATTTACTGTCTACTTTGGTTGGAGAAAACAATGCTTTCGCTTATTCCGCTACTTTATAGTCTCTGTGGCCATGAAATGGTAATCGTAGCTTTCCAGCGTTTTACTCGTCATGCAAACAATCATGGTCATGGACATAAATAAGAAAATGTCGCCTTGAGGAAGAGAGGGTGCCACTCACTCTGTCACTAAGCTGAATATTTAAATTTCTCTCTCTCTCTCTCTCTCTCTCTCTCTCTCTCTCTCTCTCTCTCTCTCTCTCTCTCTCTCTCTCTCTCTCTCTCCTCTCTCTCTCTCTCTCTCGTACACATGTGTATATGTCTGTATGTATATATACTTATATGTGTGCATATATATACCTATATGTGTGCGTGTGTGCGCGTATGTACGTATATACGTATATACATACATATGTATACATATGCACACAAATATATATACGTATATATACCTATACATATACACGTATATACATATATACATACATTGTATACATACGCACACAAATATATACATACGTGTGTATTAGTATATATATACATATATATATACATATACATATACATATACATACATATAGCATATATATATATATACATATACACATTCATTTATCCACATATACATATACATATACACATTCATTTATCCACATATACATATACGCATACACAAATATACATATACATATATACTATATATATATATATATATATATATATATATATATATATATATATATATATTACATATCAGTATGCATGTATGCATACATGTCAGTATTCATATACTCTATGTATAGTTCATTTCACATATATAGATAGATATAAATGTGTGCGCATGTGTGTGTGTAAAAGAGAGAGATACACTATCTCTCTTTCACGGGCATTACATATCACAGCCACATTCACGGAGGCCCCTGGATAACGTTCGCGATGACGCAGACCATTTCTGACGAGGAATGACTAGCCCGTTGGCACTGAACACAACACGTCGGCCATGAACGTGCAGCTGGAATTCTGGCGGAAAAAAAAATACGGCAAAAAAATATTTCCGTTAAAGCCATGTGTGAAACAAAGAGAGAGGAATGAGAAATATAATGATTTTATTGGAATTTGGTTTTGTTTTATAGTTAAGTGTGCGGGTGGAAGGTGGTTTGATGACTATGAATCACGTAGATAGTAAAGGAATAAAGTAAGGGAACTCGAAGATCAGATTAATAAATAAATATTAATAAATGAAAGAGCATAAAATAAACAGAACTGGAATTATTGAGCCAGGTAGGTAACCCCCACCCATCATCCCACCCTTCATCCCCCCCCTCCCCTTCTCTTCTCACCCTCCTCTTCTCACCCTCCCCTTCTCCTTCCCCCTCCCCCTCCCACTACCAAACACCCAGTCTTCACTCTCTACACAAACATTCTACCTGAAACAGGACAACCACCTGTTGCCACACCTCTACAACCACCTGTTAGTCACACGCACTAACCACCTGTTATTCCTTCACACGTCCTGTTATTTCTCATTCCATTTTCTTGTAGTTGGTACCACCAAATAATTTCACTACTTTCGCCATAAGGTAGTCCGTAGTCACTACCCCAAGTTCACTGTCAAAATACTAACAGCGTTTTACTCATGGTGGAGCACAATACATCGTAACTCCCCCTCTCCTCCCTTCTCTTAACCTTCATCGGAATGGAACATACATTCTGGGATTCGGATTCGTTTAAAAAATGTGAAGTTCACGACACCATAGTTTTACTACCTAAATCCCACACCCAATATCTATCTATCTATCTATCTATCTATCTCTCCATCTCTCCCTCCCTCTCCCTCTGCCCCCTCCCCTCTCCTTCTCCCCCCCCCCCTCTCTCTCTCTCTCCCCCCCCCCCCCTCTCTCTCTCTCTCTCTCTCTCTCTCTCTCTCTCTCTCTCTCTCTCTCTCTCTCTCTCTCTCTCTCTCTCTCTCTCTCTCTCTCTCTCTCTCTCTCCCCCCCCTCTCTCTTTCTTTCTCTCTCTCTCTCTCTCTCTCTCTCTCTCTCTCTCTCTCTCTCTCTCTCTCTCTCTCTCTCTCTCTCTCTCTCTCTCTCTATCTATCTCTC